AAAAAAAAACTTATCTTTTCAAATTTGAATTGCTTTTGTACCGGTGCATTTTTCAAATTTGGATTGACTTTGTACTGACACATTTTCCAACTGAGCAATGCCAGAAGCACTCGCCAATTGCACTCTGCAACCAATACTTCCATTTTCATTGGGCCACGTTCTTTTGGTTGAAAGAGGTGGATTTCACAGCCTTGAAGCAAACTTACGTGGCCCAATAAAAAGGCATGTGTTGGTTGGAGTGTAAAGGCGCGTGCCCCGAGGACTGCTCTTTTCAGTTGAATTGATTTCTTCTACCGGTACATTTTCGGTGTACCGGCCGGTACACATAAATATCGGCCGATACACCGAAATATCGGCCGATACACCGAAATTTGACTGAAATTAACGAAATTTGACCGAAACGAAATTGACTCTTACACCGTTTCGGACAAGTACCAAAACCGGTACGTACCGGCCGGTACGGTATCTACTACTTTGAATACTATGCTTTACAAAATGACTCGGCTGTCTCTCGCCACTTCGCTCATCTCTCTCCTTCAAGCCCTCAACTTGTTTGCAGCCGCGGTCACTTACAGCTCCACGAACATCATGGACCCATTTCTACCAAAAAAAAAACCGTCATGGACCCAGAACACTATCGCTCGCAACTAATACCATCGATTGAGAAATCCGACGTGTACTCTTCTGGTGTGGTCATGTTTGATAGTTGTGTGGTAACTGGTAAGCCACTGGTCTTCCAGGGCCTGTCAGAGGAGAAAGTGGACTTGGCCCAATGGGCCCGTAATTGTTACAAGAAAGGAAGCCTTGATGAAATCGTGGACCGGTATTTGACGGGCCAGATTGCACCGATGGCCTTGCAGAAGTTTGGTGAGGTTGCAGAGAATTGTGCGCGCGAACAGGGAAATGAACGGCCTACAATGTGGGGATATCGTGGGAGCATCGGAGCTTACATTGCAACTTCAAGAATCCGTAGAAGAAAACACGAACAGCGGCGATGCTATTATCTCTAATAAATTTGTTCAGGTGAGAACACAATAAAATCTCAATCAACATCAATCGACATTTAATAATTGATTAAGAAATTAGTAAACAATATATCTTAATATAGTTACTATTATAATTTTTACTCAATAGTTGACTAAGAAATACCTATTAGTAGACTTAATCTTAAAGTTAGCCGAACGTGTGATTAGTTGTGTTGGTGAGAGAGTGCATAAGACTATAGCTTGTTGATTGTTTGATTGGCGTTACTTGCTGATGTCATTGTGCGTGTAATTGGCAAGTGTGCACCCAATTAAAAGTCCTGCTCTTTCCCCACTCTTCTTTTTTTTTTTTTAGTTGTTTGCGTAAATTTTTTTAAATGAGATTTGATATTTTATAATTTAAATAATACGTTAGAAAATAAAAATTATTGTGTCAGAATATGTGAGATAATTTTAATTTTACTAATTTTTTTTAATTATAATAATTTAAATTATATATAATTTAATATATCTAATCCAAATTATACAATTTTTTTTTTTTTAAGATATTACAATAATTGTTTTAAGTGTTCAGAACTACGTACCATATCTACCCTTCCATTCAATTTTGTTGAACTGACATTTTTGTTACAATATAATTTTTTCAATAAAATCTCTTCCAATTATCATCCACATCCACCGTCAAACTTCACTTTTTTTTTTTCAGTCTGTCTTTACCGTTAAGTGTCTTCTACATTCGAAAAGTCCTACTTTATGGTGAACGTCAATCCGGCCCCCATTTCATACAAAAAGAAAGCGATCAATTAAAGGAAGAGAAATTTGAAACCGATGGTGTTTGATCTCACGATATTCCGAAGAGTCCAGTCGAACACTCCCCTACTGCTAACCGACGCGTGCGGGTAACCTTTGATCGTTGACTCGTTCACCGCCACCACTACCGAGTCGGCTCACTCTCCATACTTCCGCTATCGACTGAGTCACTGAGTCAAGAAGATGCTTCACAGTTCACATTCTCTTTGGCTGGCCTTTGGAACTAACACTCTTGTGTCTGTCGCTCTGGTCTGCGTGTTAATGAATGGAGTTAGCACAGTGCACATCCGTACGCATGATAGGGTCTATTCTCCAGCAAATTGGTATTGTGCATGTCGGCAGTTATTCCCACTCCGGCAGTTTAAAGAAGGAAGCGAGTCATCCATGGCGAAATGTCCGTTTTACCGCTAATTGGGCCAACCAGAGAAAATTAGGCCTGTTAGCTGGCTCGTTAAAATTGAGCCCAATCGAACATTGGCCCATTGGGACATATTATTGGGCTTACAACTCCATAATATTTCGGATAGAGCCGATTAGGAAAAAAAAAAAAACCGAAAGAGAGATGGTGGAATACGATTCATATTCGTCAGTGTTACAGCCATGTTCCGTTTTTTTTTTTTTTTTGAACTAGAATAATTGGGGGATGGGGAGATTGGATTGCTAAGGTTTGAACCTAATCATATCTCATGTTGAGCTACATTTATATGAAAAAAAATCATCTGGTAGAAAAAAAAAAAAGAATATATTACAATTAGATTTTGTGAAGATAATATTTACATAATTCGAAAGCTGTGAGCACTTAATGCTTTTAAAAGTACCCAAATAGAATAACCCTTAAGCCCAACACAAATGGATAAACTTCGAGCCTGTTTAGGCCCCTAAAGCGCTAACTCCGCCCATCTATTAATAACTACTCTGTTCAGTAATTGCCTTGAAGTGGGAAGGTTTTTACCAACTTCCTTCGTGGCGGGTTCTCATCTCATGTATTAAGGATTATATTTTCCATCTGAAAGCATACCACTCTCATGTATTAAGGATTATGTTGTCCGTTTGAGAGCATACTATAAGGAGGAGGAGCCTTTAGGGGTAATTTGTCTAGGATTTGCGTTCCATTATGCAGAATTTGGAATGCAGAGCATGGTACGTAGTCTCTCAGCGAAGGTGAGATTTTTCCCCTCTACCCCGTCACCGTCCCGTGAATCCGGTGAGTTCTCCACCGTCTTAGCTCTAGCACAAGATTTCGCCTCTCCATGGTATTCCTTAAGCCAGTGTAAAGATTGTCCATCTGTAGAGAATTCCATGATTGTGGAGCCAATCTTCTGGTAGACAAATTTTTAGCCACGTGTTTCAATTCGATGCTTACAAAACTTTGATAAAAAAAAAAGAAAAGAAAAGAAAAACAATCAGAAAGAATACATAGGAAAAAACATAGGAAGAAGCCGAAGTATTTCAATATTCTTTGGTTGTAGCTGTTAGAAAATAAGAAATGGTAGAAGAATAAAAAGGATAATTTTGAAACGTAATCTCACTTTTTTTAAGAATTTAAAGTAATAGAATTCAAAACTCTTTCAGGGTTGGAGATAGAATTTTGATTTACGTAAAAATTTATATCGTTTGAAAAGTCAACTTTTGATTTTCAAAAATTTCAAATTTAATAAAATAAATTAATAAATCCGAAAATAAAAAAAATAATGTTCTAAAAATCAAATCCAAGATCCCCCAAGTGCCCATCTTTAACTATATATATATATAGAGGACAAGATTCAGTTTACTTTTAAGTTTCACTTATTTATTTATTAATAAAAGATAAGTCTCTATAAATTCTTTTTAATTCTTTTTAATTCTTTTAAATTCTTATACTTCCTTGACCGTAAGATGTTAACATTTTGTAAACTATTCAAATGTAGCAGTTTTTATAAAATTATTATATTAGGACTGAAGAATAAACATAAAGGAGTCTAATTTCTTAGGTAAGACCTTATTTTAATTTGTTGGCTTATAGATATGAATATCATTAACATATGATTTTCTACTCAAAGTAAGGCTTGTATATGCCAACAGTTGGAAGTGCCATCAGTCAATTAGATGCAGGAAAGATGATTTTATAGCAAATGAGAACGTGTTGGTTAAAGGTATTATAGGGGGAAAATCTGTTAAAATAATTGAGTTTGGATATAATGCACTAGAAAAAGCATCTTTTTTTTTTTCCCCTGTTTAGGCCGAGTGGAAATGCATCTATTTAGGCCATACGATTGGTTGAATTCTAATGGGTTGAATCCTGAGTTGTCACATGAAAATTGCTCGATAGACCAAAAGACTCTCATCACAGCAATGGCACTGACTATGAAGAGGATATGGAATTGGTTTCGACACAAAGGGTGAGACTGAAAAAACGAACAAAGCGATCAATTTTAGGAATTTGGAGTTTTTGGCTGTTTATGTGGGTGGTTGTACTTAATTAGAGTTGTTTATGGGGCTTCTTTTAGGGTTTTGCAGAATTTGGTCAATTTGGAAGAAAATCACAGTTTGGAGGCAACAAAGAGGAGGAAGCTCTGCCTGACCCAACTGGTAACGAACAAATAGTTGAAGATTTCATGACATTCCTACTCAAACAAATTATTAAAAGTTTCAGTTAATATGGAATCACAACTGCATTTTAATTCGGGGTTATGGTTGATCTTAACTA